AGCCTGATGGCTTGTACTTTGAAGGAGCTGGGTTGTTTTATTTTAACGTATAATGATTTTACATTATATGATGCTTTATAAACTTTAATAGATCATATTTCATAAAACATATAGTATATTTTTATAATTTTACAAAATATATACAGATATGTGTAATATATAAATATATAGAGTTATCTATATATTTATATAGATAATAGGATACATGTTAAGCTTGAAATAAAAGCAAAGCTAGTTTTAACAGAAATATCATGTAGGCCATGAAAACTGCTGAAAAACCATCCCTCCTCTACAACAGAGGATCTTACTGTTAAAGAAAAAAAGTATTAGATGACACTTCTTAAAGCACAGTAAAGAAGACTTTATCCAAGGGGTGGAGGTGCTATTGAGATAGGCGTAAGGACCACTGCAAAGGGATTTTACAGTGAGGGAGAGATATTTGGCTCAACTCCAAATATAGCATGGGCAGGTGGGAATTTATAGCCAAGGAGAAAGGTGGGGGCAGGGTGGGGGGCGGTCAGTGGATGGAAAATTACTAAGGGGAGACAAGGATAGGAGGGATTCTGCCCAAACCCACTTAACAGGATTCTTGCTAAGGACAGGCCAGGGTAATCAGACATCCCCTGGGGGATGGTGGAGGATAAGGAACCTGATCAGATTCAAGCATAATCAGGTAGCAAGGTTGGGGATTCTGGTTAAACTGGGTGCTTAGCAGGGTTCTTGCTAAAACTGGGTTTTACAAGGACGTGCACAGATGGGCAGAGGAGTGGATCAGGAGCCTGAATAAATTTTGATCAAGCAAAGAGTCTTTGTCATACCTAAAAGATAATATCTCCAAGATCTCTGGATAAATACAAAACCCCTTTTCTCTGGTTGCCCTGTTCTTTGCTTCATGGTGTCTCCTCACACTTCCCTTACCTATATTAAAGTTCAGCTTTGGTTATCATAGTTCTACATCTCCTCAGCCACATCTGTGCAGGCCCTCTCTTGGGTATTTTCTACAGATGGTTCAGATAAGTACTGACAGCAGCGAGTGGGGGAAACTTTCATTGAGATGGAAGACAGGGGAGGAAGAGAGTACCTGCTGCTATATAAAGAGCAGTATCCAGCAGACAGGTGAATATGGATATCTGGAACTCTAGTGAAAGTGATTGGCTGGAAATAAGCATCTGTGAATTAGTAGCTTAGAGTTTGCAGTTGAATCCATGGGGATAGGAGAGAAAAACCAGAGAGAGTGGAGAGTAAGGAGAAGATCAAGAACAGGCACTTGAGATAATCAGCATTTAAGGAGCGATCAGAGAAAACTGACGAGGAGGTCAGAGAATGGGAAGGAAGAGAGTTTCCAGAAGGAGATAGGCCAACACTGTGACATTCAACAGAGTGGTCAAATAACATGAGGTCTGAAAAGAGCTCGGAATTTGGCACTGGTGGGAAGTCAATGACAACCTTTGAGAGGGAAGTTTTGGCACAGAGGTGGGGGGCAGAGGCTAGGGGTGGAGGCCCCAATTGCTACTTACTCTCTCAGGGAGTTTGACTATAAGAGAAAAAGAAACGAAAAGCGGTAGCAAAGGGAATTGTTGAAGTAACTGCTATGAGGAAGGGAGAGGGTAGTAAGCAGGGTAACCAGCTCACAGAACAAATTAAATGGGACAGGAACAGATTTATAGTATCATCAGTCTGAACAATTGAATAATTTCCTCCAGTATTGCTCAAACATTTAGTTGTAAGAACAGGCATGTAGATCAAAAGTAAAGTGTTCTTCGGATGAGTTCTGCAATGGCTACAGTGGCTGGTGACTATCCTGCTGGTCAGCACAAATATAGAACATTTCCATCATTGCAGAGAAGGCTTTCGGAAAGCACTGTGCTACAGGGTCTAAACTGGATAGAGCTGAAGTCTTGATGAAGTAAAAGAACAAATGTTGGTGGAGTAATAAAGAGCAAATCTTGGAGGAAGATATCTTGTGGACAGAGATAGGTACATTGGGGTTTAAGATTTTAGGAGCAGAGCTGTTCTTGGTGAAAAGGTTCAGGGTTATGTCATGGGAGAGGAGCTGCTGAAATAGCCTGTGGATAAAGACTTTTGAAATGGAAAAGGCCAAAGAACTTTGAAGCCAGGTTGTTGGTGAACTTATCCATGCTGAAGTAGCTCAAATGGATAGTAATAGTTGGTTGGAAAGAAAAACCTTACAACTACTGCCAAAATCCTCAGTGAACAAAGAAGTAACGACAAATGATTAGTAGCTAACAGCAGTGAGAGAGCTAGGCACCTCAAAACGGGAAGGATGTTGTTGCTCAAGTTCCTTGTGAAGTATGCTAAAACAAGCAGTGACTGAGGACAAGGGGTGTCCTTTAGGTAGGGCCAGATTTCAATGAAAGCATAACCTTGGGGGAAACATTTGATGGAGAGGCTGAAGATGCAGAGGAGTTTATTACAATGGAATGAGATTTCCAGAGGACCTAGTAAAGCTTTGAAGGAAGTTTAGTAAAAGAAGAAAAATCTATGAGTACAGATAACCATAGTAACATGAGAAAAAGATGGTTCTTGAATGTATAAGACGTGCATTTGGGGTAGTGGCCAGGGAAGACTGAAGTCCCAGGTGTAGTCAGAGATCTCATAAGGTTAGAAGACTACAGTTTTTGTGTAACATTCAAACAGTATATTGCTAAGGAACAAACTTGTCTATCTGATTAGGGAGGTATCTAGATGGATCTTGCGTGCCTGGCTCCTGACATCATCATAGCAACCAGTTATAACTAGACCCAGACCTTTTCTATTACCCAAGTCCTGGGCAAGGGAGAGAATCTCAATGTGTACCCACCAATGGCGTCCCAGTGAGTCCAGTAGCTGGGTGACCTAAGATGTGGAGTCATCACACGACTCCACTGAAGCTGCTTAGGAAAAATAGACCATGAGCTAAATCTTCCCCATGTCATCAGGAATTAGCATGTGTACCATGTATAGCTCTGAATGATGTCATGGAAGGCAGCGGTTGGTGAGGAACTAGAGAGTGCAAATTATGAAATACTTTCAGTTCCACTTGAAATGGACCTCAGAGTGATTTCCACCCCAGAGTGAGGGGAGAAGGAGGAGGGACAGATAGGAACCAATTTTTCCTATCATTACCTTCTCTGTTCTACTTTGGAGACAGAGGTAGAGACACTCTCCTGCAACTTCTCAAACTGAGCTATTGTTAAAATTCAGATTCTGACTCAGCAGGTGTGGTGGGGGAGGGGCAGAGATTCCACATTTCTGACCAGCCCCCTGGTGATGCTCATGCCTTTAGAACACAGACCACACGTTTGATTGGTAGGTGAGGAGGGGGACAGTCAGATGGGTGTAAGGGAAAGCCCATATAATGTGTGGGAGGGGGGACCCAAGTCAGAGAATTTAGACTGGTCTGTTATTGGAAGGAGTGGGTGGGAAGGAGAGACGATACTGTGAGGTTCTGCAGAGAAATAGTCATAAATCAAGGAGAGAGAAGAAGCCAAAGGTGAAGTCATTTCTGGGCCCAGTAGGCAATAACATAACATTGACCGTTAACTGGCAGAATTTTCAACTATGAGTTTGGTTTCTCCCTTAGGTCATCTGTCCTAAAACCAGAATGAGTTTTCCCAGAGATATAGCTGCTAGAAGTTTTTACAGCAGGTGGCACTCTTACATTATCATTCAGAATTTAGCAAAGAAGCAGCAGGAGTCCCAGGATTGCCTTGTAAGGCAATTGCTGAATACAGTAAATCTTCCTTAGGTTCCCCTTTCACAGTTCCAGGTACTCAGGTAAATTTTCCCACCACCCTCCAATATGGGAACTCATCCTGTACATATGCTGCATTTTATATTTGCCAAGTGCTTCACAGGGTTCTAGTGAACACAATGCAATAGGCAGTGATTTGAACTGGTGCTGACTCTCACAGGTGCCTGAGTCCTCTTCCCTTAGAATTCAAACGACAACCAGCCCTTTTGATTATGTGTTCTCACCGGGCCACTCTGTGGACAGTTCAATTTTGCCAAGTGCATGTCACCCTTATTTGTCCTACTCCCTCTTAGAAGAGAAACCCATTGATCAGATCAATTTACTTTCTCCTACCGCCCTCAAACACACCTCAAAGGAACTCCTCTCATCTCTCTCACCAACCTACCTCCTCTTTCCCCCTTAATGTCAACAACTCTTCACTGAAGTCTGGAATGATGAAGCTTTATTCAAAACCCACCCTAACATTTTCCCCATGGCAGCATTTAACTTTATATTAACTAAGAAACAGCATTTCCCACTAACCCTGCACTTCTCACCCACCACTGCTTAATTTCTTGGCCAACTCTCAAGTAATTCTGTAACCCAGAATAGGTTCACAAAACCCTGTAATCGAACACATTTAAGGAGCTAAGTGGCACACATCCCTTCCACAAACTTCAATATGTCCTCAGGGGTGAAAGCCTTTCTCTGAACTCTCCCAGCATGTCCTCCAGGGGTTGTAAAAATTTCCAGTGGCAATGCATACTGGGAAAAGCAAGTGTCTCGTACCTGGGGTTTTCCCAATACTCCAAAAGCACATCCTCACCTTCTTATCTATGATTCATTTCCAGCATTTCATTCATGTACCTTAAATGTTGTCTTTGACCAGCACAATCCCAAAACAACCATCAGAAGGCCCAGTTCTCCTTCTGATCCCTGAAAGAGCTTAGAGAGGTCACTGAAAATAGAGGCTTTGGTTCGCTGTGTCATTTCCAAACTGTTTTACATCCTTGGGCAAGCTGGCCATGGAAACAGCATTCATGAGGAAAACTCTATAAAGGGAACTATTTGAATTTCAAAGATATTACTCAATGTGATACCCAACTAGTAAGGCATAATGAAGGGGGCGGATATTAAATTTGTTACCATTATCAGAAATCTTTTCACTATAGAGGGGCAAGGAATAAGGGGATGGGGAGGGAAAGGGAGAGCTTTTGGTGATGATGTAGAAGTAATGGAGCTTGAAACAGCTACAGTGAAGAGAATCAGTATTCAGGTTATAGCAAGGTTAACAGACGGGTGGATGCATTGTCTAACTCTGCTGTTTTTCCCTGGTCTGGGATTTAAATTCACAGAACCACAGTACTAGAAAGATTCTTGGAACACTTAGTCCACCCCTTCATTAAACTGATAAGGAAACTGAGCCTCATGGTGGTGCAGTTTGCACAAGGCCCATATTTATTTATCAGTGGAGTGAGGACAAATGTCCCATTCTCCAGATGCCAGTATGTAGGCACATTCCAGAGTTTAATACCTAGTTCTTCAGTATCATTACTGATAAGATAGCAGCTGGGTATTGTATAAAGAGAAACGGAGTTGTTTTTTTCTTCTTCCTTCTTGTTTCTCCTTCTCTAATCTCTACCTTTCCTTTTTTAGGTGCTGCTTCCATGAAGAGTCAAGCATATTTCAACAAGACTGGAGAACTGCCATGCCATTTTACAAACTCTCAAAACATAAGCCTGGATGAGTTGGTAGTATTTTGGCAGGACCAGGATAAGCTGGTTCTGTATGAGCTATTCAGAGGCAAAGAGAACCCTCAAAATGTTCATCCCAAGTATAAAGGCCGCACAAGCTTTGACAAGGACAATTGGACCCTGAAACTCCACAACGTTCAGATCAAGGACAAGGGCTCATATCAATGTTTCATTCATCATAAAGGGCCCAAAGGACTAGTTCCCATGTACCACATGAGTTCTGACCTATCAGTGCTTGGTATGTAGTCAATGGCGCATTCAGGTCCCTGCTCTTCTCAGATGAGACTGCAATGAGCAGAGAAATGTTGGGGTGGGGGGGGTGGTGAGGGAGTGGGAGGGTTGTGGGTAGTACCTGTAGAGAGAAGGCATGAGACAGCCATTTCTGGGAAGTCCATTTGAAGGGAATGCAGGGTTTGGTGATGGGGAACTGAAAATCCTTTGTACTTTTAATAGTTTGCTTCTGAAGGATCAGTAAGAATTTGCTTTGGGGACAACTCAGGGCTAACTGAACAAAGTTAATGTGGCTAAGGGAAAACCACGGGTAATTTGGCCATTACTAAGTTTACGTAACTATACAGGCCTCAGATCTCTTTTACATTCATTTTTTTCCTTTGGTCCAAGATTTGTCACCCACTAAATCTTTGCCTAGAGCTCCTAGCAAAGGTGACAGCTGATTGACTTGGGTTTTTCCTTCAGCCTCCTGGAGGTCACTTATGAGCTGTTTGCTGCCCAACCAAGAGCCCGGTAGACAGTTCTGTTAACATAGGTATAGATTTTGATGCACAGTTCTGTTAACATATGTATAGATTTATGTAACCACCACTATAAATAGTATACAAACATGTCCATCACTCTAAAAAAATTTCATGCTATTGCTTTATAATCATACCCTCTCCATACCCATAAGCCCTGTTTTGAATCCTACAGTCTTATCTTTTTTGAGAACATCACATAAATGGAGCCATACAGTATGTAACCTTTTAAGATTGGCTTCTTTTTTTTTTTTTAAGATTTTATTTATTTATCTGACAGAGAGAGACACAGCGAGAGAGGGAACACAAGAAGCGGGAGTGGGAGAGGGAGAGGGAGAAGCAGGCTTCCCGCAGAGCAGGGAGCCTGATGCGGGGCTCGATCCCAGGATCCTGGGATCATGACCTGAGCCGAAGGCAGATGCTTAACAACTGAGCCACCCAGGCACCCCAAGATTGGCTTCTTTTATTTAACATAATGCCTTTGAGATTTATCTAAGTTGTTGCATGTATCAGAAGCCTGTTCCTTGTTATTGTTAAGGAGGATTCTATTTTATCCACTCAACCCATGGAAAGACATTGGGATTTTTTTTCAGTTTGGGGCTATTATAAATAGCTGCTGTAAACATGTACAAGTGTGAACATAAGTTTTCATTTCTCTAAGGTAGATACCCAGGTGTGGGATTACTAGATTCAGATTAACTTCTGATGAAACTGGAGAAGGCAGATCAACAGTGATTCTGAAACCACAGAATAAAGAAAAGGCAAAAATAGAAATAGAATGAGGAGTCCTCCCTTTAAGCCTTGTGTGATTCAAACTAGGCTGCAAGAGTTTTGGAACATTTTACCAAGTGATAAATAAGTGTTTTTAAGGTATGGCCAGATACCATTGAAGAACATGGTGTGTTTTAGGTGGGTCACAATCATTTTTTTATTTTAACAATTTTATATTTATTTTAATGTAGTAGGAAAAACAATAACTCACTTCTCCAACCTGCGATTGCACAGATGTTGTTAAGGAGGCCAAAGGAGGTAGCACCAGGGCAATCTCCTTTCTACAGAGCACACAAAATACAAGCAGAGGACTTAAGTAATGTGTTGGTACAGCAAAACTTAGAAAGGTGATATGCAAATCACTGGTTTTAGAGACAATAAAGTAAATTAGAAATTAGTATGCAGAACCTGAAAACTACAGTAACTATTAAAGAATAACAGGATTTTGGCTAGCAGAAGGGGCTAGGTGCGGTAATCCTCGACAGCCATTAAAATCTGAATGGCAAACTAAGGCGAGAGAAGCTCTATGTTTATCAAGATCTTACATTTTCCCTAAAAATGGCTGGGTTTGGCCTTCATCTTATAATACATGATGAAGAAAGCTTGACAGTCATGCCCAAAACCAATATTCTGAATTTCTAAATCCAAAGTCCCCATCCACTCACTTATCAGTATCCTACTCAGGTTTCTAGATGATATGGCCCAGAGCATGCCAGCACCATGAACTCTGTTAGTGTCAGTCCCTTTCTGCTTCCTTAGTCCGGCAAGCTGCAATGTACCCCATGACACAGCTGGGTTCCAACGTCAGACTCCTTCTCCATCCCAAAACTCCACTCCTCAGAACAATGGTCTCATTGTGAATCTTTGGTGACTCAATTTCAGCCCTCCTGTCACTCAGAAAGCACCCCCCACCCTGATTTGGGTAAGCAGGAAGTAAGCATGGCCCAAAACTCCATTCTTGAAAAATAAATGTGGGGTCCTTATGTGGCTCTCACCATGGGCTGAGGCCCACACTTTCGATACCCAAGAGGCTCCCAAGTGTGCCCCCAGTAAGTTCCCAGATCAGAGCCAGTTATTTGCAATTCTCTTCTAGACACTCTTCTAGACACATCTAAATTTAGACTGATTTCTTTTTTTGTATCTTTATTCTGCTTTCAGCTAACTTCAGTCAACCTGAAATAATGGTAACTTCCAATAGAACAGAAAATTCTGGCATCATAAATTTGACGTGCTCATCTGTACAAGGTTACCCAGAACCTAAGGAAATGTATTTTAAGCTAAAAACCGAGAATTCAACTACTAAGTATGATACTGCCATGAAGAAATCTCAAAATAATGTCACAGAACTGTACAACGTTTCCGTCAGCTTGTCTTTTTCAGTCCCTGAAGCAAGCAATGTGAGCATCACCTGTATCCTGCAACTTGAGTCAATGGAGCTTCACTCCCTACCTTACAATATAGGTAAAGCTGCTTCCCAAGACTATTTCTTTCATCAGGTGTTATACCCAAAATGTTGAGGCAGATCATTCAATGTTCCCTGCTTGCCGGGAAGCCTCCAACAGGGCCATTTTGTGGTACTATTAGGAAGGAACCAGATGGAGGGCTCCTCTCTTCATCTGAGTGCTGCTACAGGGTCCCGGAGACTGTGAACATATACTGCACTTGAGGAAGTATGCTTTTAGCCCTGAAACTGACCCAGTCTTTTGGGCTACCTTTGGATAGAAGATTCTGAAGTTTAAGTCAGAAAATGCAAGATTCCTCCAGGCTAGAATTCTTCCATTCATACACACACCCACAACCCTCCCCACACAAACACACACACACATCATCATCATCATTATCTATACATACATACATACATACACACGGTACATGCTCTGAGTACAGAGCCACTCTAGATGTTGTTGGCTGCAGACATGAAACCTAAAATGTATAAGACATGCTCTCTGCCCTCAAGTACCTTCCAATAAAATCAGAACTCCATGATGTACACACATGAAAAACTGGATTTTAAAAAGATTGAATTGGGATCTAAAGCATATCCCATGGAAATATGCAACTAAATTTAAAAACAGGAGAGAATGATAATCAGTTTTATAGACATTCAGAGGTAGGTAGGTTCCTTGAGAGCCAGGGAAGTCTTCCTAAAGAAAATGGGACCTTAAAACACCATAAAAGATAACTGGGCTTTAAAAGTACAGTGAAGGGGTGCCTGGATGGCTCAATTGTTTAAGTGTCTGCCTTTGGCTCAGGTCATGATCTCAGGGTCCTGGGATCGAGCCCCATGTGCAGCTCCCTGCTCAGCCGGAGAATCTGCTTCTCCCTCTCTTTCTGCTCCTACCCCCACTCGTGCTCTCTCTCGCTCGCTCACTCACTCACTCTCTCTCAAATAAATAAGTAAAATCTTTTTAAAAAGTAGAAAATATAGAAGTGTGGTGAAGAGATGACAGGTATCAGACTTGTGGTTTCCTGAACAGAAAGAAAAATTCTCAGACAGCATCCAGGCTTAGAAGATGAGAGGACCAAAATCAATTAACAGTATTTGATATGGGCACAGGTGGTGGTGGTGGGCATATGTGTCAAGGAAAGACTAAGAAGCAGAAATTCTTGTGGCATGTTGACAGTGTAGTACAGGGTCCAGTCCAGCTGGAGGAAAGGGTTGAAACTAAGCAGTGTCTGCTAATAGAAGTCTAACATTTTAGGGCACCTGGGTGGCTCAGTCGTTGGGCGTCTGCCTTCGGCTCAGGTCGTGATCCCAGGGTCCTGGGATCGAGCCCCGCATCAAGCCGCACATCGAGCCCCGCATCGGGCTCCCTGCTCGGCGGGAAGCCTGCTTCTCCCTCTCCCACTCCCCCTGCTTGTGTTCCTGCTCTCGCTGTCTCTCTCT